CTGCGAACAAAACGACATGGCGCTGATCATCGGCGCTGACGCCAACGCCCATCATCCTCTATGGGGCATGCCAAACAGCAACAAGCGAGGTGAGGACTTAGTAGACTTTCTTTTTACGACAGATCTGAGCATCCTAAATATAGGGTCGGCTCCAACATTCGTGACAAGAAGAGCAAGAACCATCATAGACTTAACACTGGCGACGAGGATGGGTGCCAATCTGGTGTCCGACTGGAAGGTTTCCATGGAGGCCTCCTGCTCGGACCACAGATGGATCACTTTCAAACTCGCTATACAAACTGTAATCCCGACACCCAGGCGCATACCTAGGAAGACAAATAAGAAGCAGTATACACTACAGGTAACTCAATCCCTACAGCGCATGCAGCTCAGGGACTATGAGGACACCGAGACAATAGACAAGACCACCGAGGAGCTGACTGAGGCCATCATGTCCGGCTACCGGAATGCATGCCCCCTCAGCACACCTAGGACTAACCCTAGTAACAAAAACTCCTGGTGGGGACCTGAACTTGCAAGACTGAGGAAAAAGGTAAGACGCCTCTTTAACAGGGCCATGAACACCTGTGATGACCAAGACTGGGACGCATATAGAGATGCAAAATCTCTGTACAAAAGACGAATTCGGCACTGGAGCGATGGGTCATGGCGGAAATTCTGCACCAGCATTGACACGTGTTCCACGGCAAACAAAGTAAGAAAATTACTCTGCAAAGACAACTCACAGGACTTGGGCCAGCTGTGCAGACCTGACGGGACATACACCTCAACACCGGTAGAAGCACAGAGGCTACTCCTGGAGACGCACTTCCCGGGCTGTGTGATGAAGCCAGCACATGTCTGGGGGGGAAACATTTGGACACCGACCTTACACTGCTGGGACATAGCTAACAAGACAGTATCACAGGACAAGGTAAAATGGGCACTAAATAGTTTCCAACCTTTCAAGGCCGCGGGTCCGGATGGAATTTTCCCGGCACTTCTTCAGTGGGCGGGAGATGACCTAATACGGATCCTGGTAGCTCTACTAAGAGCATGCCTGGCCTACAGGTACACACCCAAACTGTGGAGGGATGTCAGAGTAACTTTCATCCCTAAACCTGGTAAGAGCGACTATAGTGAGCCAAAATCATACAGACCAATTAGCCTCTCTTCTTTCTTACTAAAATTATTAGAGAGGCTTTGCGACAGAGAACTAAGAGACAATCAACTGACTAAGGCTACGCTTCACCCAAATCAACATGCCTACAGTCCAGGTAAATCGACAGAATCGGCTTTGCATGCCGTAGTAAGCATGATCGAGGACAGCCTAGGACGTAAGGAGCTCTGCCTAGGCACATTCATAGACATAGAGGGAGCATTTGACAAAACCAGTTTTAGCAGCATTACGACAGCCCTACTTAGACACGGAGCTGATGAGACCATCGTCCAGTGGATAAGTAACATGCTATCTAACAGGTTAATAAGACCACAAGGAGAGAATCAACTGCGAGCACTGGCTACGAGAGGTTGCCCTCAAGGGGGGGTACTCTCACCACTACTTTGGAATACAGTTGTGAACGACCTCATAACAAGACTGAACAATCTGCACTACCTCACAATAGGATATGCAGATGACCTGGCGATCCTAATCCCGGGTAAGTTTGCGGACACGGTATGCGATGTGACACAAAGGGCACTGAGAGTGGTAGAGATATGGTGCTCGGACTACGGACTAAAGGTAAACCCGGGTAAAACAGAACTAGTTCTGTTCACCAATAAAAGGAACCTGGGCAGCTACCGCATGCCAGTATTATTCGGCAAGACGCTGTGTTTCTCAAAGGAGGTAAAGTATTTAGGCATAAATCTAGACGCCAAACTCAACTGGGGAACACATATTGACAAAACCATTAAGAAAGCCTGCATCATTTTGTACCAATGCAAGAGGATGCTGGGTAAGAGGTGGGGCTTATCCCCCTTTATAACAAAATGGCTATACACGACAATAATAAGACCCATCATAGGCTATGCAGCGCTTGTATGGTGGACGAAGACAACACAGGTAACAACCATAGACAAACTTAAGTGCTTCCAAGGGAGGGTCTGCCGGGCGATAACGGGCTGCATGAAAACCACCCCTACTGCAGCACTTGAGACAATTCTGAACGTAAGACCACTACATTTCTACATCCAGCAAGAAGCAGCATGTGCGTCTACTAGGCTCCATATGCTAGGCTTGCGGAGAGACTACAATACGCCACATACACGTATTCTAAAAGGCATTGAGGAAGAATACCCCTTCTTCATGGCGAGAAACGACATCATCCCTAGACAGTATGTATTTGACAAAAAATATAGAATACAACTATATGAAGACAATCCTGACCGAGGACTACACAAGGAGCTGAGGGTATACACAGACGGCTCCAAAACCAACTCAGGTACTGGTGCAGGTGTGTTCTCAGAGGATATCAACATTCATATATCAGACAGCCTGGGCATCCTCAATACGGTCTTTCAGGCGGAGTGTATAGGCATTGTCAGAGCAGCGGAGGCCATCACAAAACGTGCAATCAGGAGTAGAAACATCCGGATACTCTCTGACAGTGCCTCGGTACTCCAGGCGCTAGACAACAATGTAATGACGTCCGGCTTGGTTTTTGAATGCCACTGCAAACTCATGGAGGTAGGCAGAGAAAACGAGGTCATACTCCAATGGATAAAAGGACATAGTGGGTCAAGGGGCAATGATGCAGCAGATTGTCTGGCCAGGAGAGGGTCGGACACTGTGGTATATGGCCCAGAACCAATCGTACCGATCCCATACCGGCTGCTGCGAAGTTGGATTAGGGAACGGTACCTGCGACTACACAACGAATACTGGGCTGGACTTGCAGACTGCTGGCACGCCAGGGAGGCCATACCTAAGGTAGACCCACGGCTAGCAAGTAAGTTTTGCAAGTTACCAAGACATGCTCTGAAACAAATAGTGAGTATTCTCACAGGACACGGACACTTTAATAAACATCTGTTTAAAATAGGTGTCTCGGACAGTCCTCTGTGCAGAGCCTGCATGGAGGAAGAGGAGACGAGCACTCACGTCCTGCTGCAGTGCAGAGGCGTGACCAGACATCGAATGACACACCTGGGCAGCCCGCAGACGCTACTCGAGGCCTGCGGCGACATCAGGAGACTGCTGAGCTTCTTGGGGGAGCTGGGATGGCACGACTAAGGCCATCCTCACACGCAAAATAGGCACCTGGTGTCGAGTTGCGGAAAACACCCACCGTGAAGAAGAAGAAGAACGTCCATCAAATAAATAAAAAAAATCTAGCGCACCAATTTGGCCTAGCCTCCAAAGGACTGTAGAGCTTGTGTTATGAAATATTAGGGTTACAGATATATTTATTTATAAATAGATATTTAAGTTTAAATAATTGTAAAAATATATTTCAATAGCCATGTTTAAGGTACATATGCTCATATTCATTAGGCCCTATGACTAGGCCTTGAAAATCAGTGTGCATAGATAAATACCTATATTTTCGAATATAAAAAAATATTACCAAAAATATATGACAAAGGCTTATTTACTAGGAGCCCCCAAACTAGGTATTCCTGTCTATGGGGACTCAATGATAATAAACATATTATGTTTTTAATGGGCTACCTACAAATATACCGTTCTAACATTTTACATCATAGTTCTTCTTCTTCCTGTGCCACTGATGCAATCGCGATGCGTCGCCATGATGCTCGATGTTTTGCAGAGCGAGAACAATCATTTACGATAGAGCGCGTCGCCGATTTAATAAGGTCGGTCCATCTTGTTGGAGAGCGCCCGCGAGACCTTTTGCCCTCAACTTTCCCTTGCACCACCAACCGTTCCATGGAGTTCTCATTGCGAGTAATATACCCGAAGAATTTGAGGATTCGTATCTGCACAGTCGACGATAATCTCTCTTTGATGTTGAGTTCCCTCAGGATTGAAACGTTGGTACGGTGCGCGGTCCACGGAATGCGTAGCAAACGTATCCAACACCACATTTCCAGAGCGTCAATCTTGCGACGGTCTTTCGTTTTGAGTGTCCACGTCTCAGCTCCATATAGAACGATTGGAAAAACCAAGGATCTCACCTTTGTGTTTTTGGTTATCCTGGTCATAGTTCACATTTATGTTATTATGTACATTGTTGAGTTTTCTTTATATGATGCTTAAACGTATCTACTCATTTATATAAAACTAGCTGACCCAGCAACTTCGTACCGCCCTAAAAAAATAGGGGTTGTCCAGCGGACAAAATTGTGAATCTAAACCATTCTCAGATCCCCTTGAACACACACAAAAAATTTCATCAAAATCGGTCCAGTCGTTTAAGAGAAGTTCAGTGACATACACACTCACAGAAGAATTATATATATAAAGATGTACTAGTAACTCATCGAACTCATCAGTCACCAACAGCGTATCTATAAACACAACAAAGAGTGAATCCCTTTTTCCCTTGGTCACGGTCACGCGCCGTAACTTAAGATTTATACGGTTTTTTTCATATATAATTGCACACACACAAATATGCACATATACATAATTATGATTATGAAACTAAACACACCTACACATTGGCGTTCAGAATCAAGGGATTTGGTAACCATTAATGATAACAGATTCACGGCATCCTCCGTAGAACGACCTCGCCTGAAACCAAACTGCCGATCTCCCAAGGTCATGACAATCTAGAAAGTTATTCAGTGGGATATCGTTCATTAGGTCCATTAAAATTACTTTCTGGGGTTTCGAAGACTATTCTTCGATTTACAAAATTCCATTTGCAAAATATTGAATTTTAAAGTGCTAATTTTTTGTTCGAGTATAGCATCCCTTCCTCTCTCTAAAAGCTTAACTATTGGCTTCAACAACCTGGAAAATTTCATGAAAATAGTGATTTTCATATAACGGTTAAGATAGATTTGTTACTTGATGAGTAATAGTCGTTCAACCTGAGTTGCGCTAACGCTACGATTTTATAAAAAGTATATAAGCACTTGAGAAGATCGGCGGTTATACAGCATCATTCAGTTCTTAGTGGATGATCGCTTCAGATGAAGCTTTTTGTCAGTAAGAGTCTGACAACCTTGCAGCCGATTTAACACCCGCTCCCCCGTCTAGGAGGAAACAAAAAAAAATGTGGTTTCATTCGTATTTAAAATAATAATAATATAGAATTGATTTTGAGTATGAGACGCAGTTTGACTTTGATTTAGGTAATTTAGTTGACATACATAGAGTGATATTAATTGGTTTTTCTAATTTTCGATATAAAAAAAAAATACTCCTGCTCAAATTATATTGTGGTAATAAGAGGCAACTACGGAACCCTACACTGCGCGTGGCACGACTGTGATATCTTTGATATGCAGTGCGGCACCGCATTCCATAATTTTTATCAGTCTACTACTCAACACCACGTAAGCCTTTATTGTTACAGTAATTACGTATATAATCACTAGTTCGCATCCAGTGATAGTGTGTGAATGAAGTGGTTCTTTTAAGATTTTTGCTGCGATTTGGAATATTTGCAAAAAGGTTGGTGTCTTAGTTATTTCATTGATTGTTCAGATACTAAGAAACTTTTTGATGACTATCTTAAAAACATTTAAAGATGCTTTTTTAATGACCTATTTTTTATTTATAAAGAAAGTCATAAAGTTATTTAGTACCTATAGATAAAAATCATTTTTATTATAATTCTGTATCTTTTTTTATATTTGGTTACAAAGTTTTAAAAAAAGAAAAGATTAGCACACGGGATCTTGGGTAAGATGCCATGTGCTAATTTATTCAAATAAAATTATTTAAAAAAAAACTTTTTTCACAAGTAACTTATTATAGGGTTTTAGGTTATTGTGGTCGATACCAAAACGCAATAAGTGAATGAGTTATTTAATTTGGGTCTTATATTATTTAATAATATTATCCTGGCTGTCTTTTCTTGAATCTTGGCACCACATTTTGTACAGAAGCCGTAGTGTCTGTGAATTACCGTTCAGTAATTTTATCACCTTAGGGAAGATACGGTACGCTCATACTACCATAAAAAAAAACGACGGGTTGCACTCCGGGAGTGCCGGCAGAAGTGAAAACTTGAATATTAACGTTGTGCATTTTTAATATTTTGGAATGGTTAGGGAATAATTTTGCACGAATTGCTTTAATTATCAGTATAAAAGTACTATCATGTATGTGGTAGAATACAATATTTATTTATTGCGCTATCGTTTACAAACATGACAAGTCACATTACATTAAAAAAGTTTATCTCTCAGAAAAATCAACTTACGTGAATCACGTTTAAGCGCACTTAGCGACATCTATTGTAAAGAAATCAACTTACAAGAATCACATTTAAGCGCCCCTAGCGACATCTATTGTAAAAAAAATGCATTTTCTTCGCAATAAAGCTGCCACGTGGACGTCCTAAATAGAGACTTATTATTATAATACGATAAAATAAAATATTACTATGTTTCGTCCAGTATATTTAAAGTCAACAACCTTTCCAATTTTATTGCGATCAGCCGACGTGTTTAACCTGACGCGAGTTTAACATTTTTTACCCATACTAAAAGAGGTTGTACAAAAGGTGCCGCTAAAGACGTTTTCACTTCAAAAATATGCTCCGTCTCAACTACATTAGCAACCCTCACGCACGCACACTTCTGTAACTAAACATTAAATCGAGGTTTGGCGACTGCGTTTTCTTTTCCTTATCTACAAACGGCTGAGTTGTATTATTGTCCTTTTCCTGATAACAAATTGCGAAAAAGTAAATAACATTTATGACAAATCGTGATTTTTGAGAAAAAATGTTTTCATATTTTTACCAATAAAAAGTGTTGCCGTGAAATTTGTTATTTGATCTTGAATTATGTTACTTATTATACTTTAGTTCTTTATGAAAGCAACAAAGGCATTGTTATATCTTTATACACAGAACATACGCAATATTATTATATTGAGTGCACATGCAGCGTGTTTGAATGTCTAATTGTGACTAAAGCGAATTGTGGTCATGCACCACAATTTAAGCAGATCACTTTTGAGGTGAGAGTTCCGTATTTTCCCTTTTTATTTTAATCTAAGCCTTACACATGTAAGTAAGTACGTTGACATTGTACTGATAAATGATTATACAGAACGTTTCGTTGTGTAATCTGAGATGATTATTGATAACGCAATGTTACCGTCTGATATTTAAAGACTACCAAGCTATTGAGCATATTAAGAGATATAAAAGAGATAAAGCAGGCCTTGTGCCCGTACTTTATAATGTCCTAACCTCTAGATAGGAGACCAGAGTCAACGTGTAACCCCCCACGCAGATAAGGGATGAAGGGATCTTTCAGGCAGTGAACGGCGACAGCAAATATCTGCCCGAGCCAGGAGCGTAGTTTAACCTTGAGAATCTGGGGTTAAAGAAAACCACTTTTCAGATTGTGTTTTTACGTTTTTAATCGATCAACTTTAGTTAACTTAAATCAAATTATTTTAATATCAAAATTTTAAAACATAACAACAACTTAAATCAAAATGTATTTTTTTCAAAACAAATTAGGTTACTAAGTTTATTCTCCCCATATAGATACAAATAAAAGAAGAGAGGGTTCGTGACGATTTGTGGTCTGGGTTTGAGTGATGTGTGTATAAACTTAAACAGTCCAATCATGAGTATGGGAATGTTAACAAGGCTAGGCTTAAATTTATTTATACATTGGGTTACGTTAGCTACGTTGGAATCTATATATAGTTCACAACGTAGAATACCATTCTGGGAAACTAATACAGGCCTTGTCTTAAGCTAAAATATGGCCTAGACCAAGTTAGGTAACATGTTAGGTTCTACTTGAATTTTCATATTTTTTATAAAATTTACTGACCAAAATCAAAATCAAATCAATGCATATCGTGGGGCACTGTCTACAGAAGCTATTCATAGCCTAAACTCAGTCTAAAACACTGTATAGACAGACTTAATTCACAAGTTATGTCTAATACCTAACTGTTAACTTTTTGAGAAAAATATTGAAAATTAATTCAAAATCCTCCCAAGGGTACATAGTACTAACTGAGACGAAGCTTTTGGTAGCAAAAATCAGTACCAAAACTCATCATGGATATACTGTACTTCCAGGGCCCAAAAGTAAAAACTTCACAGTTTTGTTGGTTGTAATTTCGCATTTTTGTTGTTAAAAAGGTTTCTGTTAACCACATTATTAAAAAAAATGTCACACTTATGCACTGGTAGTTTTTTGGAAAAAAATATTGAAAATTTTTACTTTTCTTATAAAGTGGTACTTCACACTAGGTTAGGTTAGGTTAGTGTTGTGACCATAACGCGCGAGCCGAGCGAGCAAAGCGAGCGTGCCGCGGTAGCGGCCGGCGAAGAGCCAGAAAAAAAACTGTTAAAAAGACCTTTTCTACAAAAAAAAAACAAGTATCACCTTTTGGGCCCTGGAAGTACAGTTTTACCCTCATCATAAAACATTCTAGGACACCGGATCACCTAGGATACCTATCTGTATTTTTCTCAAAAAAAAATAACTACGCAGGGAACTCGGGAAACAATTCATACGGGCCCGTATTATATCTCTGGAAACCATAAAAAATTAGCGTATTCATTCAAAAGAATAACAAATAACACTTTAATTGGTTTGGCACAACAGTTATACTTACAAATATCAGGATAAATCACTTATTTAAATATGAAAGTAACATTGACCGTTCGCCAAAAAGGTACGAGTAAGTGGGTAGTTACATCGACAAATTTGATCTGAAAATTACAAAATAGACATGAGAATTTATGTATAAATTATAAAATGCTATTTAAAATAACCCTAAGATTTTACTTACGAGAACTAAGAACGGTTCTATCTTTAAATAGGAAATTTACAAAGTAAGAGAATTTCGTTGATCTCGCGTTGATTTGAAATACAGAAATATATGTAAAATATCAAAATATACCTTTATTACGTTCGTATAAGACGTTAAGAAACAATTTTGTAGCATTACTTTCCGATTAAAAAAGTAAAATCTTTTAAGTAAAAATTAATGCCGACTCGCGGTTACGCCGCTCGTGCGCCGCTGCTCCGTCCGACAAATATTGTTTTTATATTTTCCCCTTTTGGGTAGGCAAAGGCAACAAAGACCATACGGCCTTGTTGATAATATTTTTTTTCTGGTCTTTTGGTCATAATTTAACTTTATAGTAAAGATAAAATTTTAAGGGTTACAGTAGGTAGAGTGCCTTGGCGGGGCCACGTATAAAAATTTGCTTGGCCAAAGGGCTCCTTTGGGAAGGGTAAAAAAATCTCACAAAAGAAAAAAAAAATGTTTGCATAAAATTAAAATAAATTTTTATTCATCGTAATTATCTGTCACTTTTTCAATATTTTTTACAAACAATTCAAATTAAATATACGTTTTCTTTGCCTTTTTTTCGGCAAACTGATTTTTTTTAAATATATTAAATCATTTATAGCTGATGATGAAAAACTTAAAAGTTTTTCATAAGTTTCTGCCTCTATGGACAATAGTGATTATTCTGACGGGCGTTCATGTTCCATCGAAGTTCTTAGGTATATTTTTATCAGTGTTAATTTAGAAAAAAATCGTTAAGCAGTTGCGGTTGTAACTAGAAATAAAAAGCATGGTATTATTATCTCCGGAAAACTGGATGCAAGACTACTGAATTTATCAGCAATAATTCAATGAGTTGTATGGAACGGATTTTTTAGAGCTTTTAATTGGTCATAAGGATTAACTGAGATGTCTTTACTGTATTTATTGAAAGTTTTCCGGGAGCGTTTAATATATCTTCGCTTGAAGAAGACAGGAGTTTCTCTGTTTTTTTTATATCACTTATTTGTTTATTACATTTTAAGTTGATGAATATAACATATAATTGTGATGTAGAGGATTCGATATTTGGTAGAGTAGGCCCATCAGAATCCGAGGCCGCGTCGAAATGCAGCCAGGGAGGTCGAATGGGTGGGAAAAACCCCTGTCTTTTTGAAGAAAAAGAAGAACAGAGGACGGTTTAATAATAGTGAGAGGCGAAAGGAAGAGGAGAGAAGAGAGGAAAGGAAACGAAACAGAAAATAAATAAAAGGTTTAAAGGATGGGAGTAAGAGTGTAAGGGAATAGGTTTAACAATCTTGCATGAAATACAGCAAGTGTCTCACTGAGTAATATTTCGAACATGCTACTCAGGTCGCAGAGGCTCTGAAATCTTTGTTTAGTTTTACAAATTAATATATGAGGGGCTGGCGAATAAAACGGTATAATTACACATCTGGTCAAACTACTTTTTTTTTACAGTCCAGAGGTTTCGGGTCCTTTGAAGAAACTCAAATAATTTTCAATCGAAACCGCCTAAAACAGTGATAAAGATACTTTTATAAATTAAAACCATGCCAAAAGCTCCCTGTAGTCACACATTCAGTTTTATACAGCTCCTATAAAAAATAATTTTAGTAATTAAACCGTTTTGTTCGCCAGCTCCTCATATGTAAACAGCAATAATATATATTGACTTTGAAATAGGATTCCAGGTCTGAAATTCTCTGATCTTGTGATAACTCGGTATGAAGTTTAGGGAGTTTTAAAAAAGAAAATGGGAAGATTTTATTAATTTTTGCTTACGCACGTTTGGGGGGGCCCCGTATCATTGATACGACAGATACGGCGGTAGCTACGCCCCTGGCCCGAGCATACAGGCATACAGTGCGTTTCGCTTTAAAGGACTCTTCAAGCACGTAGCCGGGATAATTTCAACTGTTAGGTACAGTTCATGAGATAATCAGACGGTCCGTTAACGGACTGGAAGTTTAGTTGGTTATTACTTCACACAAACTACATTACATTCGGCGACAAACAGAAACAAAATAAATAAATGCTTCACTCTCTCACCAATTAGCCTAGTTCCAAAGTAAGCACTGTAAGGCTTGTGTAATGGAATGCAAGGATATCGGATAGAATACATATACTTATGCATATATAAGTTTATTTTACCTAGAAATATATATTAACGTCCATGACTATGTACAAATGCTCGTATTCATCATAGGCATTTGCTCCCACCGGGACTCGAACCCGGGACCTCTGAGTAGGCGACGCCATGAAACCCGCCGTATACCCCACGCTGGGCATACCACTCGGCTACGGAGGTCGTCAAACAAGAATGAGAAAACTGACTCGAGCAGCACAAGGGTCTCAATATGTACTATTTCTATTAAAATTAAAAATCACGGTGTTATTTAATTAACATTGATGTAGTAAATGTGACCTTGGCAAGACTCTTAATTGATAATATCAGTTGACATTTCATCCAGAACGAATGTAACACATTCCAACTCATCATTCCCATGTTTCGTATTAAGTTTGCATTGAAACTATCATGAATGCCTCCAAACGCCACTGCTGAGGCACATATGGAGAACGAGCCATGCCATGACTTGCCATGTGGGGTCCAGTGCAAATTGGTAGGGTGTACTGAAACACAAAGATCGCCAAGATAATATAATTTTTACGTCTGTAGGAAGGCCAAAGGGGAAGATCTTCTTCACAGCTGGGTGATGTTAGCTCGGGGGCCGCGGCCCGACTGATGTTGGTCGGGCATCGTATATATGAACTGTTGGCTGCCAAATTTCAGTTGCGCGATGTAGGCTTCCTTACGTTGTGAACGCAGCGCCGGTAGCGCCATCTCTTAAGGAGGCGAGAGACTATTTCCTCTATGTTCATTATATGTGGGGCATGTAGATGTCGCCGCCACACGTCACCTGTTCAATGATATCCAGATGGCGCGGGTCTGCGTGATCGGCGCAGGGGCAGCGGGTTTATGCGCTGGGCGACACCTGCTGGCGGATCCCAGCGTGGGCCTCGTGGACATCCTTGAGCAAACCTCACAGCTGGGTGGCACCTGGGTCTACACCGAGAGTACGGGCTGTAACGACTTTGGCCTGCCGATACACACCAGCATGTATAAAAATCTGAGGTTTGATTAACATTTTCTTTATACAATCAAGTTGTCAACGTACTGACGGAAGCCAGTTACATAGATTATTGCATAAATCACCAGTTGACGCAATGACAGCGTTCCTTTTTCCCACCCAGAGATCCTGTTCTGGTTACAAATCTTTTTAGAGACATTTATTATTTGTCAGCTCTTTATGGCGTGCAGGGTGTTCAATACCCGCACCTATATGTATCAATATCAATGATATATATATAGGTATATAAATGTATACCAATATCAATATCAAATCATTTATTGCATTCATGTAGTTACAGAGATGGTATCGCAATACTTGGTGTTCTTATGAATAAAATTTATAATAATCTGATATACAATTTATATAAAATTTTCTCGAATTTACGTAACTCAACGTCTATCTATTACGTCTCATCATGACGGCAGCCTCTCTCTCCTACAGTTGTATATGAATATTTATATGAAGTGAAATACGTTTTGTTACAGAACTAATCTGCCAAAAGAAATAATGGGATTCCCCGACTTTCCGGTACCTGAGAGTGAGCAGTCCTATATACCCGCAAATGAGATACTGGCCTTTCTACAGTCGTATGCCGACAAATACGACGTCACTTCCCACATAAAGGTAGAGGGTCTTACTGTCAGTTCGCCAATCGTATCTACACAAGGCAAACGAGTGGTTTATGAAGATTCAAGTACTCCCATTTTAATCCGTCTTTATGCCAACTATTCCAATATCCATCAAATGACATTTATATTTCTATGAAAGGAACAAAACACTAGCTAAAAACTACTCTTAGTTTATTATACGAAGGACTACCAGTAGGTATATGTTCCAAAACTATTAACTAATCTTCCTTCTCCTGTCTTATCAGACTATTAATTAATAATATTATTCGGTTTATGAAACCAACAAGTATAACAGAACTAGTCTAACATCTCTCAAATGACATTTGTAATACCAGGAAACAGACAAAACTAGTCCAAACCATTCTGTGTTTCTTAAATAAGGGAGAAAGGTTTGTTTACCAAAACAATATACTCATCATTCACCAGGTGTTGTGGAGTCTTTTGTTTTTTGCCGGCAGTTCAACCACTACGTGCAACTGGTTATCCCCAAGGCGGGAGGCCCTCGGGGGGAACTGTGGGACGTCACTTTCAAGAGCCTGGTCACCGGGGAGCCGGAGACGAGGGAATACGACTTCGTGTTCGTATGCAACGGCCATTACAACATGCCCTCTATACCTAGCATACCAGGTCTCGAAGAGTTTCAAGGTGAAATGAATTTCTTATCGCTTCAAGTCTAATCGGAACATATTTCCTCTGAAGTGTGTCGTACACTCCCAGCAGTGACGGCATTATTAGGCTAACAATGAACCTATTAATGTCCCCACTGCTGCGGCACTGGCCTACCCCATGGATGGAATTGGGATTCTGGGCCATATTCCAGCACGTAGGCCCATTGCGGAATGGGAAATGCTAACCCGGTCATTGCGAAGGCTGCTTAGCTCTCCTTATAAGCACATCCGCCATCTCCTCAATTAATTACAAAAAAATCATTATTTTCACACTCTTGCCCCCTAAAAACGCCGTGTTTTGTTCACATTACTCAAATGCCATTTTTGACATTCAATGAACAGAAACAAAACATGAAATAACTAATCCAATTATTATTTTTCGTCTTATTGCTTAGTCTTCGTTCATTAATAAGGGGAGTCCTTGTAAGGGGATTTACGTTTTATGTTACGTTCTTTATTAACAGGTGAGGTCATACACAGTCATGACTATCGATTACCAGAGATTTTCGCCGACAAAAGAGTCCTGGTAGTGGGAGCCGGTCCCTCAGGCATGGACATCGCTCTTGAGATCACAGCAGTCACGTCGAAGGTCATACTCAGTCACCACCACAAAAAGCAGTTCCCGCAGACAATGTTCCCGGAGCAGAAACCGGATGTGATAAAAATAAAAGAAAAGACTGCGTTCTTCGAAGACGGAAGCGAGGAAGAAGTGGATGTCATCTTATTATGTACTGGTGAGTGTGCTAAGTTCCCCCAAGGCAGGAATGAAGTAGTCACACTAATATTATAAAGGCGAAAGTTTGTGAGTATGTTTGTTTGTTACTTCTTCACGTCTAAATAGCTGGAGCGATATTAATAAAGTTTGGTATGGAGTTAGCTCACACCCTAGATTAACACATAGGCTACTTTTTACTGCCGGATAATATCGCTAATAAACCGCGGGTAACACCGCGGGGCACAGCTAGTAAAAATAAAACTAGATAGATAATCTATTAGGAAATTATTTAACCCTATATATCTCAAGTGAACTAAACCATACCGTGAATACAAATTAGTACAACTCCATCTATGTGACAAATGGTGAAAGAATTTAATATAAAGTACCACATTAGACAATGAGTGCATCACAATTGAAAAGTTAATGATAAATAGAACTAAAATTCCAGTGTGCTTATAGCAACTAGTAGTTTTTTATCGATTTAATCAATTCCAGAATATTCAGGAAGCTGGATCGCGCTAGTTTGATATTATCATCTTCTCGATTCAGGTTACCAGTACAACTTTCCGTTTCTCCATCAGTCGTCCGGCATCGTGGTGGATGATAACTGTGTGGAGCCGCTATACAAACATTTGGTAAACATACACCACCCCACCATGTGTTTCATCGGGATTCCTAACTATGTATGCGCCTTCCCCATGTTTGATTTACAGGTGAGATTTTTTATTATTTTTATTTCAAATAGTTACAGTCTGCAAGGCTCTAACAACAAGTCCAAAAGAACTATAGAAAATTATTCAATTTCGAGTCAAACTCTATGTTCAGTCACTGAGCATTAGTGACAGCAACATTGTGGAAACAAGGGCGCAAGCTAAGAATAAATTATTAAAAAACTACGGCAAATAAACAATACTTTGGCTATAGATAATTTTTTGTCTATTCCATCTGGATGGAGTTTCTTTTTGGGGCAGTCGTGTTATATGCAATTTTTATTTGTTCGATCTGAAAGCGAAGCCAGGGTTTGTACAGTTAAATTAAAATAATCTATGCATCATGAACTTCGTGATATCGTGGCTTAAATTATTATGATATTAGCAAATGTGTTAGTTAGAGTAGAGAGACGACTCTAAAATGGAGACGCCGACGATAATCTCGACGTTGGTGAAGGCGGTGGATATATATTGATTGATAACAATTCCAAGTCTCTCCGGCTTTTAACTGCAGTACTCGTCATAGCATAAAGACAGCTTTCACATATGGAATGAAAGTGAATTCTTGATGTATGTAATTTTACAATGAGTGTGTTTCCAGGTGCGATACTTCGTGCGCTGGATAAGCGGTGCTTTCAGTCTGCCTACTGAAGCGCAGATGCAGGCACACTGGGAACAGGAGAAAGCAGAGCGAGTTATGCGTGGGTACACGCGCCGTCAGGCACATTTTATAGGACCCGATCAGGTGAGCCGCTATTCACTTGTTACGTAAAGCGATTTAGGGAGAGTGGGGAGTTGGTAGTGCTTCGAGGAGGATCTTTGGCGGTCACACGCTTGTTATTCTTAACTTATTGTAAATATAGCCTTTGGATCAATACCAAAATATTATTTATGTATATCTGTAGAGAATTATGATAAAAACGAGTGATATATATTATATTAGATTTTTAAATAATATTTAAAGTTATGTTTTTATTTATTTTTTAAGCATTTAACTGCTAGATGTTTAAATCTAAAGAAAAGTTTACTAGAAAAATACATAACTATAATTGCTATTTCTTTTTTCAAATGTTTAATACTTGAAAAAGTATTCATTTGACATTGTGGGTTATTTACAATGCGAAGAGATGGCGCTGCCTTGCAGCTTAAGGCTAGGAAAATTTCGACGCGGCGAATAGGGCCGTGGTAGCATAATGGTCAGTGCATTCGCCCGGATTGCGAAGGATGCGGGTTCGAGTCCCGGCCGCTGCCTGGTCCGCGTGGATTTTTTTCTAGTAAACTTTTCTTTAGATTTAATATTTAAAGGTTGGAATTGGGAGTAAAAAAGACTGTACTTTGGGTGTCACAACCTATACGCGCTTGAAAAAAACCTTTAATAACTTCTTGATCGGCAAAGCTTTACCTTGATCGGCAAAGCTTTACGTATGTTTCGTATGTTAAAATAATGTTATTTAACCAATGTTTAATAATGCCAAAAATAAAAATAATGTGGGGTAAATTGAAAAAGTTAGATTGCATTTTGTCATTGTCACACGTTTTAACAATTTTGTGAGCGCGTGTCTCAAACGGTTCACATCTTTATCTTTGAATAGTGCCGACACGTAGCCACAAGTTTAAGCCGTGCGGATACTCAATTATACCCTGTATCTCTCGAGGATGAACATACTATTCGTCGCTGAGTAATAAATAAATTTTCAAAAAGTTGTTCTTAAAAAAAATTCAAACAGCCAAGAGCAAACACCTTCATGGTCACGCTATACATAGTAAAAAAAAGTTTTCAGAGTTCATGCCATACTTTATCAATAACTTAAGTCAACGAGATTGTTCGTATGTATACTATGTTTGGATAAGTCTATAAATACGACAAATATATCGGAATATGTATCGTTATTTTCCTGACACAACATTTATGGTGATTTGCCCACGAAAATGATTAAACATGGTATGGTGAAAATTAATTTAGCTTTAAAATAAATTTGGGTGCTTAATTTAATCTGGAAAAGATAATTTTTCAACCATGCTAAACCCACTACTAGTTTACAATATTTGCAGTTCCTCTACCCATTATCGAACTAGCAGAGGATGATTTTACTTTAAAGGACAATGGTCAAAATGCACCCAGCTCCGCCAACAATGTAATTAGTATGAATCGATAGATCTATGAAAAACTAGCCTTTTTTATTATGACACAGAAAATAAATATCCTGGGAGTCAAAAGATATGACACCGTAAAAAATATCCTGGTAATCAATAGATATGACACATGGGCATATTTAAGTAGCTGAATTAAATTCATTTTATAATACCTTCATTTTCTATTATTAGTAATCATAATAATGCCATATCGTACTATACAACCAGATATACGACAAAGCCTGCCGACCATCCTGCGCTTGCTCTTACTGAGACATTTCAAAACGGTTTACGGATGCTGAAGGACTGCTGATGCTGATGCAGTTGCAAATAGTCGACTCGTCTTACTTCGTTGTGATTGTGCGCTCCCTGCTACTTGATTGATTTTTATCTAACACGCTTTGGACATTCCATTGTCCAAAGTCTATCGTGTTCCAACATGATTATCGGTTTTGTCAATTAGTATGGATGAACTGGAATCATGTGTTCTCCGAAGCGTGGACAAGCGTGTAATCTGTGGTCGCTCCATTTTACACAGAAGACAATTTACTATAACAAACAGAATGTTTCAAAAAACCCAACCCATGCGGGGATTTTTGTATTATTTATGTAGATTATTATAAGGAGGCACCCTTGCACCTTGTGAAGTACTCCCGTAATACCTGAACCCCCTATGTAGGCTCGAATTAACTAACTAAATTAATTCCCTTGTTTCATTAATGTTCGTTCGTTATAGTACTTGTACATATTTTACTTAAAATAACTAAAGACCCCCGGGATGGAATTTGATGCGCTTTGGCACAGATGATTTTGACTATAATACCTTTCAAACAAATGTAGTTTAAGTCGTGGCGGACGTGGGTGCAGCGTCCATACATTTTTGCCCAATGTCCTATATTATTATTTTGGTAGCGGCAATCCTTTTCGTAACTTTCGTGGAAACAAAAAAAAACTCGGTAAAATAAATATCAATTTATATGTTTCATAGATATTATATCTTATTATTGAGTCTTCTTTCTAGTAATAATTTTATATTTTCTAAAAACTCAATATGATGTCACGAAAGTTGCGCTTGTGAAATTTAATTATTCATATTTTTTATTGTTCCAGGAAAAATATTTTGCGTCGTTGTCAGCTGAAGCCGGAACCAAGACTTTGCCTTCCGTCTTGACCAAGATCATGCTAAAAAGCTTGTGCTTTCAGAATCTTACAAATCAATGCACAAACTATCGCCAAAACATATACAAGATCATAAACGATGACACATATGAAATTTTAAGTAACGGGAAACAGTAAGTTTCTCGTTGAACTTAAAAGTGGTACTTGTTTATTTATTTTATTCTTCTTGCACAAATCTACGATGGCCGACTTTATGCCGTAGGCATTCTCCACCAGTTAAGAGTAACCATAGAGTGTTGTGAAGATTTTAGTGGTAGACACTCATCACCATAGTCGATTATGGGAATAATTAAGGTTTCCAAAAGAATTGCCTTGATATAGACCGGCAAATAAAAAACAGGCGATATGGTGTTCCTATTACTTTTTTGGGGGCGCTACTAACTTGGTCCTGGCATTTTAAACTGGAGTTGATATACAATCCTAGGTCTTTTACGACATAGTTGAAGGGAATGGACTGCCGTCATTGATTATAGCACCAACACTGCCGTTGTTAATTTTCCTCATCAGGTGTGTCAAGAAACCTACCTAATTAAATGGCTTGGCATTTTGAAGCAATAACAGTGATGCCGAAACTATCCGACCATGTTTTAATAGCGACTAAGTCCCTGCTTAGAGCATCAATGGTTTCATTTAAATTGTCAATACTTGTCTCGGTATATATTTGTATGTCGTCAGCATATAGATGACGCGAACACTGAAGTTTGTGAGTGGTAAAATGTATAATAGTTGAAAAAAGAGGAGGAGAAAGAATACCGCCTTGGAGACCACCAGTTTCCAGATTGCGCCAGGTTGAGGAAGATTCCCCAGATAGGCCCATCTGCTGGTGGCGGCGGCGAAGATAAGATGAAAACCAAGACAACAATTCGTCAGAGACCATAAGATGGGACAGTATAGAAAGGAGAATATCGTGACTTACAGTATTAAAAGCATTGGAAAATCGATAAGTACTAAACATGTCACTTTTCGGTTCCCTATTCCCGCCCTAACATCGCCAGTCACCTTTATAAGTGCTTTAACAGTGCTATGCCCTGATCTGTGGCGTTGCCACACCATAGGGTGTCACACAGTTACATTATTTTGACTCCTATCGATCATATCTTGATCTTCAGCTGATTTCTCGAGATTTTGTTGTAGATTTGGTTTGGGTGTCAATGTAAAATAAATTGATGAATTAATAAGTATTTTAGCTATATATTTTCTTCACTTTTATTTGCACATTCTGCTTGCAATTTCCTTGCCCGGGAAGCACAGAAAATAGGAATAAAATATAACGTGGACTGGATAACCCACCAAAAGTAATAATAAGCAGAAACACAAAAAATAATAACCATTTATTTTCTTAAGTCGATTTTTATTTTTTGTTTAAAAAAAAAATATTTCATACATTTTATTGTAAAACTACACATACAAAACAACTGAACTTAAAGTATCGTAAAAACATCGTCCAATTAAACAAAATGCTTATAAAATGACCCAATAGGTCAATCCAAATTAAATTTTATCGGAATTAAATGGCAAGTATCTCCTCTAGAACGAAAAAGAAAAACTTGAATCGGATCAGAAATCTTTCCCTAATCATACATAATATTAATAAAATATGGTGAAAACTACATCGTCCAAGAGGTCCAATTAAAAAAAAAAACTCATTAAATAAAAACTACTGAGCCAAACTGAATTAAATTTCTATCGAACCAAATGGCAACTATTCCGCATCATGCGAAAAAAAATCCAATAGGAGCCGCAGAAAAGTAAATAGGAACAGAAATCTTGCGAGTAAGCAGTGTACATCTTAGTTTAAAACAAAAAGGGAAGATAAAATTGTGGTGCATGACCACAGTTTGCTTTAGTCACAATTGGACATCCAAACACGATGCATGTGCACTCAATATAACAAATTTGCGAATATTCTGTGTTTTAAAAATAAAAAAAAAAATGGGTGCGTGTACTTATGTAGGCGCATGAGAAGTTATCCTTCTTTGGCATCGTTTAAAATTAGTTTTTAATTGCATGCAAATAATTAATTATAATAAATTAATAAAAAGTCTGGAAAAGTAACTTCAAAAATGCCTTCGATGCTTTTATAAAGAACACAAATACTTCAAGATCAAATAACAAATGCCCCGGCAACACTTTTCATTCGTAAAACTATAAAAACATTTTTTCTCAAAAATCAAGGTTTGTCATGAATGTTAGTTATTACTTTGCCATTTTTTATCAAGAAAAGGACAACAATACTACTCAGCCGTCTGTAGAAAGAGAAAAGAAAACGCAGTCGGCTGCAAGGCTAGGCGTACTCGCGCCGTTTCGCTCGCGCTGCGTTGAAGCGTACAATTCTGTCTCGCTCGCTCGATTAAATGTATATTTACAGAAGTGTGCGTGTTTGAGAGTTGCTTATGTACTCGTAGTTGAGTCGGATCATATTTAATTTGATGCTTGATGAGCGAACCGTATCTTTCCTTTTTGTTTTAATTAAGGTAACATACATAAAAAACACACTGGAGAAATTGAGGACCCTGTCCTTTTGTAGACGATTAAAAAGTGTTATGATCAGTGCAAATAAAATACGAAAGTTATGGTATATAAATACACTTGGTTGTTAGCCCGAATACAATGGAATTTGGGTAAACGACTAAGTGTAAATGAATGGAGTCGAGTACGCCAGAATTCGGGTAGTATTTGTTTTGTTTACCCGACACCGTCTTCCAGTCCGTATTCCAGTGTAAATATTACTTTAACTTCGGGTGCCCGAATTCGAGAAATATCTTACGTGCATCCGAATACGGGCTAACGACCTAATGTAATTGAACTATAATATCTAAAATTTTCTTTCCTAGCGTGGATTTTTTTCCTTTTACGACGTAAGGCAGCGTTTTTCTCGCGTTTGCACTGAGCATTGATGAGCAAGTATGCCCGCCTTGAGTAGATATGTGTTAGGTAAGTACAATCAGCCAATTTAATACCTGATTCACCGTTAGCTGATTTTGTTACAATAATATCAAAAATCATAAATAAGGTAGATTTTTGCGTTAATATGCGTAACCCTGGAAACTAATTTGTTAACAATACTACTCAGCCGTCTGTAGAAAGAGAAAAGTGTGCGTGTGTGAGAGTTGCTTATGTTCTCGTAGTTGAGTCGGATTATATTTAATTTGATGCTTGATGAGCGTACCGTATCTTTCCTTTTTGTTTTAATTAGGGTACATACATAAAAAAAATGGGTGCGTGTACTTATGTAGGCGCGTGAGAATTTATCCTTCTTTGGCATCGTTTAAAATTAGTTTTTAATTGCATGCAAATAATTAATTACAATAAATTAATAAAAAGTCTGGAAAAGGACACAGTCAATAAAGTTCAGTTTAATTTGAAAAAATAAATAAATAATAAAAATATTCAATTAAAATCGCTACTGAATATAATTTATTAGAACATATGTGATTTGCACTTGTATGAAACTCAAACACGTATTCCGAATATACAAACTAGAAACATGTGGATAAATATTATAAATATGAATACCTATAACTGTTACTTTATAACAAAAAATAAAGATGTGGTTTTTGGTTCTACTACACCAATGGTCAAGAGATGGCGCTGTAGTCTCCTGAATCGCGCTTTGGTTCCGTTGTTCCAGATTAATAAATACTTTTGATATTATAAATATGAATACCTATAACTGTTACTTTATTACAAAAAATAAAGTAGTGGTTTTTGGTTCTACTACACCAATGGTCAAGAGATGGCGCTGTAGTCTCCTGAATCGCGCTTTGGTTCCGTTGTTCCAGATTAATAAATACTTTTGATAAGCCTTCACAATGCAGTCGTTAGCACCCACTAAATAGAGATTCTATTTCTATTTTGTTGGTCGATTTTCTTAATGTGCGGTAAACACAAAAGTAACGCATGAAGTTGGTCGCTAAAGCGACCAACTTCATGCTGTTAAAATTTTGTGTTACAGTGATGCGCGCGCATCTTAAAATTTCACTCTCATCATTTTTTCATAACGCGCCTAAAGAAGTATAACTTCAAAAAAAACATACTGGAGAAATTGAGAACCCTGTCCTTTTGTAGACGATTAAAAAGTGTTATGATCAGTGCAGATGAAATATGAAAGTTATGGTATATAAATACACTTGGTTGTTAGCCCGAATACAATGGGATTTGGGTAAACGACTAAGTGTAAATGAACGGAGTCGAGTACGCCTGAATTCGGGTAATATTTGTATTGTTTACCCGAAACCGTCTTCCAGTCCGTTTCCAGTGTAAATATTACTTCTGGTGCCCGAATTCGAGAAATGTTTTTCGTGCATCCGAATACGACCTAACGTAATTGAACTATAATATCGAGAACTTTCTTTCCTGGCGTGGATTTTTTTCCTTTTACGACGTAAGGCAGCCTTTTTTGTCGCGTTTGCACTGAGCATTGATGAGCAAGTATGCCCGCCTTGAGTAGATATGTGTAAGGTAAGTACAATCAGCCAATTTAATACCTGACCCACCATTAGCTTATTTTGTTACAATAATATCAAACAATAAGGTAGATTTTTGCGTTACCCTGGAAACAAATTTGTTATTTTCTGAACAATCGCATTTGACGTGACAGATTTTTGACATAATATTGAGTTTTGACATTAAGTTATTTGTAGTTTCACCCCATTAGTATCCCAATTTAGTTTTTGTGACATTTACGATTTAAAAGTGATTTGAAGTGACTATTCCTATTGCGGTAGCATAATGGTCAGTGCATTCGTCCGGATAGCGAAGGGTGCGGGTTTAAATCCCGTCTGTTGCTTGGTCCGCGAGGATTTTTTACTTGTAAAATGTTATTTATATTTAAACATCCAGCAGTTAAATAATAATAATAAGATTTATTGACCAAAAAATCAGTACAAAAAGATTTCGTAACAAACTTAGCATGCAGAAAATATAATTTATTAGCCTCTGCTGCTGAAATAGGCAAGGCCTGTATTTCAGCATTCAGCTCCATATACCCCCACAAACATGAGAATACTAAACTAGACTAAGAACATATCTCAAATGAAAAGGTAATCAGTAGATTTTTTTTTAAAGCAAGGCATCTATGAGTATAAGACATAAATTAATATGTAATGTATGAAATGATGTGTGGGTGTATGTAAGTGTGTATTTGTGTATATGTGTTAAAGTGCGGATGAATTAAGGTATTAGTATACGTGCATGTATCAGTTACAATTAATCAAGTTAGTATATTTATAAAAAAATTGGTTTCTTTAAAAGACATTGCTTGAAGCCACTTGTAGATAACTTATTTACATACTTATCTGGGTAATGGGTAAATATTCAACAGTTTATTAATTTGATTGTATAAATAGGGACCTAAAATTAAAAAAAAAAACTTGTCACTGAATATCCTACCTGTCCTTGTGTACGACATACTGCATATTTTCTCCGGGAAGAAAGAATTGTGCTACTCGCATCAAAGGTAAGCAAGGCATGTTGGCTGAGAACTATATTCAGCAAAAACAGTTGGCGTACTGTAAGTACATCGCAAACTTGAAACAAGTCTATAATTGAATACAGGAATGGTTTATATATGCAATTTTTCAGTATTGCTCTTAGAGCTACGTCTTGTTTTAATATTTTGTTTTAGCTGTACCACCCCAACTAGTGGTACAATAACACAGTAACGATTGACAGAGCGCATAGTACACCTGCTTAAGACGATGAGGTTCCAGAATATGACGTATATTCTTAAAAATAGGCATCAACTTACGAATTCTTGCCAATAATTGATTAATGTATTTGTAGGAGTTGAGATTTTCATCAATGATAATACCAAGGTATTTAAAAGATTGAACAGATTCTATACCTAAACAGGAACAGCAACTGTCATGGTTAAGAATAATATTGTCCGCCGAGGAAAAATGAAATCTAATTTTTAAGTGAATATTACAATTTTGGTGATTTTTTATCGAAAATTTATATATTTGGATTTACCTACATTTAACGAAAGTCTATTAATTGTGAGCCATTTCTGAACAGCATTCATACCATTCTGAGCATTACCAAAACCACTATCCTACTTAATTATGTGCACTAAAAAGAAAAACTGTATCATCTGCGAAGAAAATTATTTTACCATTGGGAAGCAAGATGCAAGAGATTATTTATGTAGATAAGGAACTGGGTTGGAGCCAAAATACTTCCTTGTGGAACACCTTACTGTAATTCAAATTGATCGCTTATGCAAAAATTAACTTTGACATGTTGATATCTCTTTGACATACAATCTGAAAAATAATTATGCTGTTGATCACGGATCCCCGTATTTTTCTAATTTAGCAAGAAGTATTGGAATGGAAATGGTATCGAAGGCTTTTGCCATATCTCAAAAATATACCTATACATGTTTTGGTATTTCATCATTGGTAGATTTTCACTTGCGAAAACCAAATTTATTGTCAAAAATAATATTATTTAATTTTTTTTCTAGGATTTTAGATATGGTTGGGAGGATTGAAATAGGCCTGTAGTTTTCAATAGAATCCTTATCACCAGTTTTATATATTGGAGTAATTAAGGATATTTGAGAACATCAGGGAAGATGCCTTGTTTCAGACAACAATTAAAAATATATGTAAATAATGATACAAGAGACTAAACATCATTTTTAAGTAACTCACTTGAAATTTTATCTATACCAACCGAGCAATTGTTTTTCATACCTATTATCAAGCGTCGACCTTATCCTCATCGACATCCAGCATTGCAAAGGAATTTAATTTATGTTTTTGAAAGGCTACTCTTTTATAAAAAAAAAAATCAAAACAGGCTCATTAAATTGATTGGCTAGCTTCCCCCTCCCACGTTTATAAAATAATTATTAAACTTATTACCGGCATCGGTAGGGGAGGAGACCAAGACAATAACTCATTGCTAGAACTATTATAATTATTAGTATACGTAATGTCTTTTATCACTTTTTACTTTTTTCTGCTATTATTACCCGCTTTGTTAATTTTTTCTCATACATAGGATCTTTTAACATTTTTCAGAAAAATATTGAAGTAGTTTTTGTATCTAACATGCGTTATCTTTATAATATCATTATCTGGCGTACTTTTAAAAATGCTAATATATAAATAAAATATTACTATTCCTATTTTATCTATAACATGATCTATTGCATTATAAATAAAGGTCGAATTTCAAATATCTTTGATCCATTGATCCATATTAACACAGTTTCCTTGTTATTTACATTTTCTGCAAAGGAATAGGTACTTGTCTGATTTGACATTTTTAAGCGAATTATCGTGCAAGTGGGTCAGGAGTCCGTTACTTTCATCGTACTTAATTATTGTACCTAGTCTGTGCATTGTGATCGCTGCACCGCATTTCATAATTATCTATCAGATAAAAAAATGACATATAGCATCTAGTATTTGTTATTTAGCTGTGGTTCGCACCCGGTGATAGTGGCGAATGAAGTGATTGTTTTTAAGATTGTTGCTGCGATTCGGAATATTAAGAAAAAAAGGTTGGTGTATAATACTTATAATTGTTCATTCAGATACTTATAAACTCCCTTTTGTGTTCCTAGTAGTTTTAAAGTGCCATATTTTTTATTTAAATGAAATCTGAAGAAAAAAAAAACTAGAAAATATCCACTTGGTCCTGGTTTCAGACAGGATTCGAACCCGGATCTTCCCGCCTATCAAGAAAATTTTCTTTAGAAAGATCTAGCAGTTAAAGCAGTAAAATAAAAAAAAAATTGGAGTCATAAAGTTATTTCTAATTCAATTATTTGAATTTATATCTGTAACTTTTAGTATATTTCGGTTATATGAATTTGCTTTAACGTTTCCAGCTAACGGTGACTGGGACTCTAAAGTTAAGAATTTTCACTTTTATCCCTTAAGCCATAGAAAACAAGTTTAAAGTAGGTATATTATTATGAACCAACCGCGTTGAATAAGCATATGTCTTTAGCTTTGATTTAGAGCAAGGTGGCGCAAGTGGTAAGCGCGTGGCGTAAGTTTCGCAGTGGTTGGTCATTGGATGGTAAACAATTTGCTATTTCGAGCTCCTCCGTGCTTCGGAAAGCACGTTAAGTTGTGGGTCCCGGCTGCATCTGCAGTGGATGCTAAACCCACCAATCCACACGGGGCCCGCGTATTGGGTCATGGCCCCAATCTCCCTATTCCATCCATGTGGAAGGCCTGTGCCCCAGCAGTGAGGACATTAATAGGCCGATGATGATAATGATGATATACGCACCTAGATATCGTATTAACTGCATGGAAGCGCCCCAAAAATATCTAGTACTTATGGTACATACGCTGCACACGCGCACATTGACTTCTTTCAAACAATCTGACATTAGAGTATGCAAACTTATTGCGTGTAACATGAGCCGTTATCTTTCCGTGGTTTATTTAGATCGCTCTATCTCGGCGAGTACATAATCAAAGGTTTTTAAGGGATAAAATTGAGTCAATCAACACAATGTACTAGATTCAAGTCTAATTTACCTATAAAAGAGAAATCGATGGATCATGGCCGTATAAATGTAATCTTAATTTACGGATGCCGCTTTCCCACAAATTCGAATGTGAGCCTTTATAGCATTGCAATAAAATCTATTATATTTGCACTGCAAATTCACTAATAGTTGTGATATTGGCTATAAGCTGGAGCTACTGGCTGTCACACAAGATCCTGGGTTAGATCCGAGGCAAGGTGTAAAAATTAATTTCTTCGTTGGGTTTCGGGATATAATAGTCGTATACGAAGCACAATTATGCCGCAATTACATTTGGTCCTCGACTCACGTTTATTTACACTAAGGCTCGTATTACAGAATGAGAACTAAGTGTTGAAAAAGTGTGGCGTAAGTTTCGCAGTGGTTGGTCATTGGATGGTCAACAACTTGCTATCTCGAGCTCCACCGTGCTTCGGAAAGCACGTTAAGTTGTTGGTCCCGGTTGCATCTGCAGTGGATGCTAAATCCACCAATCCGCACGGACCAATCCGCACGGGGCCCTGGAATACGGGCTGGAAGACGGTGTCAGGTAAACAAAAGGAAATTTCCTCGAATAGGGGCGTCCTGGATTCACGTTTATTTACACTAAGGCTCGTATTACAGAATGAGAACTAAGTGTTGAAAAAGTGTGGCGTAAGTTTCGCAGTGGTTTTTCATTGGATGGGCAACAACTTGCTATCTCGAGCTTCTCCGTGCTTCGGAAAGCACGTTAAATTGTTGGTCCCGGCTGCATCTGCAGTGGATGCTAAATCCACCAAACCGCACGGGGCCCTGGAATACGGGCTGGAAGACGGTGTCAGGTAAACAAAAGGAAATCTCCCCGAATAGGGGCGTCCTGGACTCACGTTTATTTACACTAAGGCTCGTATTACAGAATGACAACTAAGTGTTAATCTTTACTTGAGTACAGTAGGAAAGGGATGTCGCTATGTGCTTTATATAGCATTATCCCTTTCTGACTATGCTCAAGACTAGATTAATTACTGAGAATCTTTCTATAATACGGGCTTTAGTCGTTTACTCGAATTCCATTGGCACTTCAGACTAGCGACCAAGTGTAATCGCGCCATTAGTGAACTGGTTATACATACTAGGATGACTGTAGTAATTTCCAGAACACAAATAGTTAACTTACGCACTTAATTAGGGTTTATACATCATTTCGTTTCATTTAATAATGTCCCGACAGTCACATCGTCATCATCATCATCATCAGCCTATTAATGTCTCCATTGCTGGGGCACAGGCCTTCCCTATGGATGGAATAGGGAGATTGAGCCATGACCCACCACGCGGGCCCAGAGCGAATTGGTGGGTGCTAACGACTGCAGATGCAGCCGGGACCAACGGCTTAACGTGCCTTCCGAAGCACGGTGGAGCTCGAGATAGTAAATTTTGGTCACCCATCCCATGACCGACCACTGCGAAAGTTGCTGAAGTTCAACCCGCTCGTGAATCATACATAACTTAACACCGTTTTTTATGCCGGTTTCAATTTTCTAATAATCCAACTTCTAGTTAAAGGTAAGGTTAATTTGATTCCGTTGCCTTAGTAATGCCTAGTTGTTTAGTCTTCATAATTATTATATAATTTAAATATCTCGTCTTGTGTTTATCGAGTTGTCATTGTAATGGTAACTGATAAGATAATGTTACCGTCTGAGATCATGAACTCTTTATGTTCTGTGACTCTTTGTAATTTCAATTCACTATTGCCTTTTGACTTTCAGAAGTTTGATTTATTGTGAAATACAAAAAACAACGGCATGGGTTCTGATAATATAAGATTTGATCTAACGAATTTTCGCGAAAAACCTAGATATTTCGCAAAAACGCAAATAATGAGATAGTGGCGATGATATTTCTTAATCTTTCTGAAGAAGGATAGGATTTATACGAAAACACGAATTTCTTCAGTAAGGTTGCGAAATAAATAGTTGGCTTAATATAAATATTCTTGGTTCACACTAGGTTATGTAGGTTAGTGAAATGACCCAAAGTGTTATGCGCAAAAAAAATCTCCAGCAGTAAGATTGAGCAATGTCAGCGACATTGTGTGATTATCCGCATTTTCATAAAATCCCTAGGATCTTCGCGAAAATTCTATTTATCAAACTAACCTATGACCTATATTACAGGGAAATCAGAAAACTAGGGAATTCATGAAAGCTAAATGTGAACAAAACTGTGTTTAAACTTAGACGCAAGCGGGCCTAGAATTTTAAATATATGATGTGAAAAATATAAATATATACTAGCGTAAAGCAAAATTATCTAAATAGCTAAGCAGAACATACTAGGAAGAGAAACATTCAGAGCATTTACGGTCAGTTTCTATCAATAAATCAATCTTTAATAAACGCAATACATCTTCTTCTTCTTGCTACGGGCGTTTCCGCAACTCAACGTCCTTATGGCGCTTGTTTTCACTCCACTCCAGCCAGCCCAGCTTCGCCAGGAACGCCCCCAGGGCCTTCACATTGGTGAATGCCTCTTGAAGGTTTCCCGGTGAGCTGAGGTATTTCGCCCGGTATTCGGCCACTCCGTTGCATTTTCAGCAGAACGTGAGTAGCTGTTTCTTCTGCCTCCATGCATCCTCTGCATAGGGGGCTGTCCGTGACACCTAGGTTGAAAAGATGTCTGTTAAAATGTGCATGTCCAGTAATAGCACCTGTTACCATGTGCAATGTAGGTTTGCTTAGCTGTAGGAGAGTTTTGGAGAAGGCAGCGTTCACCCGTGGCAAACCGAGCTTGGTCTGCCTGTACGTCTCCAGGTCGAGCCAGTATTGCTGGTTTAGTGCGGCTGTGTGCTCGCGGATGTTATTGACGAGACAGCTTACCGTAAAGCAATACATAATAGAGCTATATTTGGCTAATATTTTATTGGAGATGACTACCTAATCTAAACTTAAGTAACAAAACTCGATAAGCTTATCTTATACTTAAGATTGTGTTTTTTATTGAATCTGACTGTTAAATTCAAGTTGATGACTCATTATGACAATGGTTTTATTTGAAAAGTTATAACAGTGTTACGTTTTGACGAACATATGTACATAAACTTACCTCGAGACCTCGATATCTTCCACTATCCATGACATGGCACCGACTTAATTTTGTTTTTATTGTAAATAGAGTGTACATTTTCTCAACAGATGGCACGGGTATGCGTGATCGGCGCAGGCGCAGCGGGTCTGTGCGCCGCGCGGCACCTGCTGGCCGAGCCCAGTGTGGGGCGCGTGGACATCCTCGAGCAAACCTCACAGCTGGGTGGCACCTGGGTCTACACCGAGACCACGGGCTATGACGACTTTGGCCTGCCGATACATACCAGCATGTATAAAAATCTGAGGTCTGTACGTCTTTCTTTTTAATAACGATCGCCGCACATTACTTCGTCAGCCATCAGAGCGATACCTGCTCCTCTCTTAAACCCCATAATTTAGGGTATAAGTGCTGTGGCCTCTATTTAGCGCCGCCTTCTAGCTCCTCGGCATCAGAGTGGGTCTGATTTGGGGTTCTTCTCTTGGGACCGCTTCCTAGCCGGATTTTCACTCATCACTGATTCACATAAAGCATTAATAACTCTCAAAGCCCCATTGCTGCCATATACCATATACCATAGCACGAACTACGACAAATCGTATGTATTGCACACCGCCTCCAAGTCACCCCACTCATGGCAGACGATTGCTTACTCTCAGAGGCAATGATGCACCGACACATATCGAATCACCCATGTTCCGAAAGGATCTGCACCAGACGATTAAAGAGCAAACCGTTTCGTCGCCTATTTATCTAGCACCGACAATGGGCTCTCCTCTCCACTACTTCGGCATACCTGCACCAACTGATGACCTCTTCGGGGAGAAGATTTCCACTATAGCCCTTCGTGCGTCTACGGTTCTAAAATACACCGTCACAAAGACTTCGGCAGCTAGCTTCCAAGGTAGTGTAAAATGGCGTTTTCCCATATGAGCACCCCGTACAGTGCGAAGAAGCGCATAATCTCCGCAAAGAAACGGCGACATCCATTCCGAAGACTGCCAAGATTGACATTGCTAAGAGCCTCCACTACCCTCATCAATTCAGAAACCAGCCTTTTGTAATGCTAGTGATTCCTAAATATTTCATCTTCAAGCCTCTGTATCTAAAAATTTTATAGGACCGTTCATCTGTAGTGTTAAACGTATTGTTACAGGACTAATCTGCCAAAAGTGATAATGGGATTCCCCGACTTCCCGTTACCTGAGAGTGAGAAGTCCTACCTTCCCGCCAATGATATTTTGACCTTGCTACAGTCTTATGCCGAGAAATACGACATCACTTCCCACATTAAGGTAGAACGTCCTTTTTTATCACAGAAAAGAGAAACACACAACATCTGACTTTGCATGCGGGTTCTACAGTTCGACCGCTTATTTAATATACTAAGAATACTTTGGATAAGTTTTGTCTTTCGAAACAATTAACGTACGTATGTGTTTCAAAACAATCGTCTGATCACACATCAAGTATTTTTTTATTTTTATTAATAAGTCCAAAATGACTCCATCCCATTTGAAATTAAGTGGCGGTGGAGTCCAGACGCGACGCAAAGATAGCTGGTACATCAGTTCTACCTGCCACACTAGCCATTCTCATCCTGCCGGCTTGCGAGTTGCGTGCTTCTCCACGCTTTTTAAAAGGATCCTGTGGAACCTTTTGTTGTTTTAATTACAACAAAGAATTATCTTTGCCGTCAGTTCAACCACCACGTCCAGTTAGTCATCCCCAAGGCAGGAGGCCCTAGGGGGGAGCTGTGGGACGTCACGTACAAGAACCTTGTCACCGCGGTGTTAGAGACGAGGGAGTACGACTACGTGTTCGTATGCAACGGACATTATAACAAGCCTACCATACCTATCATATCAGGCATTAAAGATTTTCCAGGTAAAATTAGTTTCCTTATCGCAAAAAATCTCATACGTGTACATTTCATTTTCCAGAGAACATTACTCCAAGCACCAACAACTAGTGAGAAAGCATAAATATCGTCATTCTAGCGACAAAGTTTATTTGGAAATTAAACAGCTCGTACCGGATGTAAAAATAAACTAGCTTTTTCCATAGAAACTTTGACGCTGGCGATAAGAATACTTTCCCGCCGTGCTTGGGGTACTTACTGATCGTGGTTCATCACACTAATATTATAAAGGCGAAAGTTTGTGAGTATGTGAGTGTGTATGTTTGTTACTTCTTCACGTCTAAATGGCTGGAACGATTTTAATAAAATTTGGTGTGGAGTTAGCTTATACCCTGGATTAACACATAGGCTACATTTTACTGCAGGAAAATATCTTATTTCGATGGGAAAATCGATGCAAATGAATTTTATTTAAGTAGGTACATATTTTTTGACATTCAAAAGCCAAAGCTATTTTGATAGATTAATATTTCATACATATTTCTAGGACAACGATATTGTTATAATTTTTTGTGTATCTAATTATGACTCACAATTGTAAACCAAATCGTTCACAGAGCTCACAAAGAGCTTCATCCATGAAAATTGCAAGACAGCAAGAATCTAATTATGATACTGAACAGCGCAGACGTGACCAAGCAACACGTCAGGCAGAAGTCAGAACTGGAGAAACTTCTGCGCAAGCTGATGCTCGGCGTCTGGAAAATCCTATCCGCATAGCTTCTCAGCGTGCATCAGAGACAACTGATGAGGTAGCTTTTCAGCGTCAAGAAAATGCACAGCCTATGGCCACACAGTGATCCAATCAAACACCTTATGAAGCAACTTCTCGACGGCCAGAGCATGCCCAGTTTATGGCTAATCAGCGTGCATTAGAGACACATGAAGAAGCAGCTACTCGGCGTCAAGAAAACGCACAACGTTGTCCATACAGCATGCCATTGAAACACCTGATGAAGGAACTTCTCGACGGCGAGAGCATGCCCAGCTTATGGCTCATCAGCGTGCATCAGAGACACCTGAAGTAGCAGCTACTCGGCGTCAAGAAAACGCACAACGTTGTCCATTCAGCCTGCCATTGAAACACATGATGAAGGAACTTCTCGACGGCGAGAGCATGCCCAGCTTATGGCTCATCAGCGTGCATTAGAGACACCTAAAGTAGCAGCTACTTGGCATCAAGAAAACGCATAGCTTATGTCCACTCAGCGTGCCATTGAAACACCTGATGAAGAAACTTCTCGACGGCTAAATCATGCCCAGCTAATGTCTAATCCGCGTGCTTCCGAGACAGTAGATGAGACAAATTCTAGACGACTCGCAGTCGCTCAGCATCAAGCAGAGTGCCGGCAAACATTTACCAGAAATGCTTGGGGGTTATTTGAAAAATGTGGTTTTGAATATGACTTGACATTGGATTACAATAGCTACAGGCTCATTAAAATTTGCCGTATGGAAAATGTGTGTCACCATTGTGGGGCATTAAAATGGAATGAGGAAAGAGCGGGAATGTGTTGCTCTGGGGGCAAAGTAGCCATTCCTGTTTTAGAAGAGCCTGTGGAACCCTTAAATACATTATTTACAGGTGAAATTGATGAATCTTGACGGTTCTAAAACTGCGTACAACCCATGCTTTTACATGTCGTCGTTCGAGGCGGACAAAGGACAATGGCGAACTCCCATACAATTTTTTGTTGAATTTTTTTTTGCGTCTATAAATGAATTGCATGTTAAATTATAGAGTTTACATTCTTGATTTGATTCATCTTATTTCTTATATGTATTATAGGAAGTCTGGATTTATAGATATTCTACTTTGAAGTTTTGGAGGTTAAGTCCTACCAAGTAATGCAAAAACGAATTATAAAAGTATTTTCAAGAGTATTTTTATATCAAAATAAAAAATACGTGGAACGGAACTATAGAAGTATACCGGTCCTAAAAATTAGTGACGATAAAAATGTTTTTAAAAATGAATGATCAGTTGGCTTTCTTTCTTTCTTTCTTTCTTTGGCGTAGGTACTGACCAACCGCGTCAAAATACTTATTATCAGACAAGAGTTATTAAGTTCAAATACAATGTCTGTGCTGTAAGAAGTACTTAACAATTTGAAAATGCCCACTGCAATAATAAAGTATAAAAAAGGATTTCTAATAATGTACTAATGGGATATTAATTAAATATGCAACACTTTTTATATATTTTTTATTCCACATCGTTGATCACAAAATCGTAGATAGTAGATACAATGAAATAAAATACACAGTATGGGACAGAATCGTGTCCAAAATCCACAGCAAAATATCAGATTCGGAAGTCTTAGGCAAGCACTACTCAACAGTCGCAGAGAAAGATTTCGAAAGTCCAAATACAGACCAAGTCACAAAAACAAACAAATATCAGAAAAACACAATACGCCGATTGATATCTTTGCAATATGCATGCAAATAAGCACAAAAAATGTTAAATAATGATAACAATAACAACAACAATTCGATGACAAGCATGACATTGACAGTTATAGTTTTTTTTCGATAGAATTGTCGCCATACTCTTTTTGTATTGTGGAGATTATTTAATATGGTTTCAGTATAATATTGAAAAATAATGTTTCCCGATATTTTTGATAGATAATTAAGTACAGTTCAAGCATAAAGCGATGCAAAACATACGAACAACATATTTAAAGTTGATTTCATCACTAAAATCACTTAAAATGAATGGCTCAAAAGCCATCATGGCCAAGCCACAAATAAATAAAAAATAAATAGTCAATTGTGTTTCCCTTTTTTTAAGTTTTTAATTCCAGACCAGACCCTCCTCAATTGTTAAATAAATCTTTTGAGATTATTTTATTAACATTTCTGATAATGACATCTATAGAAGCTATAGATTTACTTCAACAAATATTTCGCCATTGTTCTTTTTGCAATGCCTGGATTTTCCCCAACGTTCACAGTGCATGGCCAACTACATCACAAAATGGGTGATGATCACCTAATGAACAGCCACAATTTTATAGGTGTATTTTATGGGAGACGACGACGCGGAAACTGACAAACGGTGTCAAATCATTCCAGGTATGGAGCGAGCAACTGTGCCAGGAAGACGAGTTTGCTCGCACGTGGAATGCGTCACGAAAACAATGGAACGTTGCGTGCAGGGCGCACCCGTCGACGGTTGGCCTGGTGTGAAAGCCTTAGATGCCCACGGTAGAATTTATACCGTACACATAACACACTTTGAGTGCTATTGTGTACGGTTGCTGTTGCTATTACTAGAATCCGGGGTCCTACCAGTTTTCAAGCGCTCAAAATCGTCGATGGGCAGGAAAAGGCCACTTTTCAAGAAGCATGTGAGGCGATGAAGCTGCTTGAAGACGACGGCCACTGGGACGCAACGATGGAGTGCGCAATGTTGTACCGGTCAGCGACTACGTTGAGAGAGCTCTTTGCGATTATGATAAGCACCTGCGGACTCTCCAACCCCCGGCAATTGTGGTACAAGTATAAAAAGCGCATTGTCAGAAGACATTGCTCGCCGATACCAAGGGATCATCATCATCATCAGCCTATTAATGTCCCCACTGCTGGGGCACAGGCCTTCCCTATGGATGGAATAGGGAGATTGAGCCATGACCCACCGCGCGAGCCCAGTGCGGATTGGTGGGTGTTAACGACTGCAGATGCAGCCGGGACCAACGGCTTAACGTGCCTTCCGAAGCACGGAGGAGCTCGATAATAAATTTTTGGTCACCCATCCAATGACCGACCACTGCGAAAGTTGCTTAACTTCAACGATCGCAGCTGAACGCGCTAACCACTTGCGCCATCGAGCTCCTCGACAAGGGATAACACTAGACATAATTTTTAAAGAAGCGCTGAAAGTCTTTTTTCTTGGACGCACCAGGGGGCACCGGCAAGACTTTTTTAATGAACTTGCTGCTAGCACAGTTGTGCAAAGACAAAGTGGTTGCGCTGGCTGTTGCATCCTCCAGAATAGCTGCAACCTGGCTGAGTGGTGGCCGAACCGGACACTCAGTATTCAAGCTCCCGCTGAAACTTGCAAGTGAAGAAACGCCCATTTGCAACATCAGTAAAAGTAGTAGTTGTGGTGCTCTATTGCAACGGTGCAAATTGATCGTATGGGACCGAATCGAATCTTTATTGGTGGAGTGGTCGTCTTGCTGGCAAGTGTTTTTCGACACATTTTATTTACGCAGAAAACAATAAGTCCCGCGTTGTGGTGGATTTCTAGGTCTCGCTCTACGACCGGAGACAAAAAACAATTACATAAGACAGCATAATCATCTCTCCCGTTCTGTCAGTTATCAAATTTTGTAAATTGATCTTTCCGATGTTTAAGTTTAAATTATTTTGCTTCTAAAAATGTGAATAGTCATTGTTTTTACTGTTAATACACAATTTATTTTAACTAATAAGCCGCGGGTAACACCGCGGGGCACAGCTAGTCTATATTATAAAACTCAAAGGTGACTAACTGACATAGTGATCTATCAACGCACAGCCCAAACCACTGGACGGATCGGGCTGAAATTTGGCATGCAGGTAGATGTTATGACGTAGGCATCCGCTAAGAAAGGATTTTGATCAATTCTACCCCCAAGGGGATAAAATAGGGAATGAAAGTTTGTATGCAACTTTGTCAATTTTAAACCGATCGGGCTGAGACTTTGCATGCAGGTATAAGAAGAATTATTGATGAATGTCATTGTGTATAATACAAGCCTGAGAACAAAAAACTGTAGTCTACACTTCAGCTCTACACCGAAGCGAAGTGAGGCTAGCGGCCCGCCCTCGCTTCGCTTCGGTCGTTACATAAATGTAGAGAACCGGAATTTTTTGAAAAGTATATGGGTGTAATTTATCGCTTGATGATAAAAATTGAATGATTGAGGAGCACGATAGCGCAAGTAGTTAGCACGTTTAGCTGCGATCTTTGAGGTTAAGCAACTTTCACAGTTGTCGGTCGTTGGATGGAAAACAAAAAATTAAAAATCCCCAGGTCCTCCGTGCTTCGGAAGATACATTAAGCCGTTGATCCCAGCTGCATCTGCAGTCGTTAGCACCCACCGAGCCGCACTGGGCCCGTGTGGTGGGTCATGGGCCAGTCTCCATATTCCATTTATAGGGAAGGCCTGTGCCCAAGCAATGGAGTCATTAACAGTCTAATGATGTTGATAATAATTGCTACTCAAAAGATTAGTTAATAAATTAAAAATTAATGTCGGAATTTTAGTCCCTCATTTTAGCCTGGCAACCACAGAACAAATTTCTGCAGCTGAAAACTTGCAATCTTGGATATGTATTACGTTTGCTAATACATATTACGATCGCCATTGATCGAGTTTGTAGGAGCAGAAAGTGTTTTTTTACTTTGATAATTTTTTAAAGTTCCGTCCATAAAGGATTACAAGAAAACCGAAGTCCGTCCCTCCTTCTATCATTTCACTGTTTTGTTTTACGTTCTTTATCAGGTGACGTCATGCACAGTCACGACTATCGAGTACCAGAGATCTTCGCTGGTAAAAGAGTCCTGATTGTAGGAGCAGGTCCCTCGGGCTTGGAAATTTCGCTAGACATCGCACCAATCTCGCCGATGGTCATACTTAGCCACCACAACAAGTATCCGACGAAGACGGTATTTCCGGACAACTTAGAGCAGAAACCAGATGTGACAAAGATAGCAGGAAAGACTGCGTATTTCCAAGACGGAAGCGAGGAAGAAGTGGATCTCATCCTCTTATGTACTGGTGAGTGCATCACAATTGAAATGAAAGTGATTACTAGAAACATTTTACTCATTCCAGATGGATGCTGTTAGACCAAATAAATTAATGCCGCGTGGATTTTTTACTCGTTATATTTTCTTTAGATTTAAACATCAAGCAGTTACATGCATGGTTAAACAAAATATAACTATAATTGCTATCTCTTCTTTCAAATGTTTTATACTTGTAAAAGTATTCATTTGATATTGTGAGTTACCTATAATGCGAAGAGATAGCGCTGCCTTGCAGCTTAAGAATGGATAGACGAATTTCGATGCGGCTATCAGGGCCGCGGTAACATAATTGGACAGTGCATTCGCCCGGATTGTGAAGGTTGCGGGTTCGAGTCCCGTCTGCTGCCTGGTCCGCGTGGATTTTTTTCTAGTTATATTTTCTTTAGATTTAAACATCAAGCAGTTACATGCTTAAAAAAAAAAATATATCATAAAAAATATCTTACATCGATGAGAAACCATCCTATTCCTAAACTTCAACGTTCTGAGAGTTGATTGTTATTGTCATTTCGCACCTATTGACTATTCTTAACTGTGAAATTAGCTCTCTAATCGCACTTGAAAACTTGGATTCAAACCAGCATTTTTGGATATCCAGCTGAATCTACTACCATTATGCTATTGCTATGGATTACAATGTAGTTGCCGGGATAGTGTTCAAATCTTGGCTGCTTATAGCAACTGTCCGAATTATTTTATCAATTTTATAAATTCCCTAATATTCAGGAAGCATCATAAAACGAGATTGAATTCATCATCTCCCCGGTTTAGGTTACGATTACAACTTCCCGTTCCTGCACCAGTCGTGTGGCATTGTGGTGGAGAGCATGTGCGTGCAGCCACTATACAAGCATCTAGTGAACATAAACCATCCTACCATGTGCTTCATCGGGATTCCTAATTATGTCTGCGCCTTCTCAATGTTCGACTTCCAGGTGAGATTCTAACCACCTTATTCTAAAACGCGGTCTAAAGGTAGTCTTGATTTAAACCTTATGTTGTCTCTGCCTTCTTTTAGCAAACAAAAGTGACACCATCACTTTTAGTCCAGGTTTAACTTTAGTCTACGTTTTGTAATAAGACCGTATTTTTTTATCCCAAAGTATGTTTTAGCTATAAGATCACAGGAAAAATAGAAAATGAAAGTTTTACTCAGGATTGACTTGAGTCAAACTTTTTGTCCAGTCACTGAGCGGCAGCGACAACAACATTATAAAAACTGAGGCAAGCCAAGAAGAAATTATTTTAATTAGAAACTATGGCAAATAACCAACATTTTGGATATAGGTAACTTTTTATCTTCTCTATGGATGTAGGCTTCTGCGAAGCTTTCTGTAGGTGGCGTTTCTTTGATTGCTATTCTTTTTTCATCCTTACTTTCATAATAATCAATGTATCGTGACCTTCGTCATTTTGTGTCCTTAATATTAACGGTAAAAATGATTTACGGTAGAGTAGGATAGACGACGATGATGATGATGATGAAGAAGAAGATATATAAATAACGATTGCAAGTCTGGCTGACTTTTAACTGTAGACCTCGTCACAGCGCAAAGAGAGGTTCCGCATGCGAATTCCAGTATACGTAAGTATGTAATTTAATAAAAAAGAGCTGGATGGCGCAGGTGGATAACGCGTTTGGCCTGCGATTGTGGAAGTTAAGCAACCTTTTCAATGGTCAGTCATTGGATAGATGACCAAAAATAAATTATTATTACGAGCTCCTCAGTGCTTCGGAAGGCACGTTAAGCCGTTGGTCTCGGCACCCTCCAAAATTATTGCCCAATTTCCGTATTTCATCCATAGAGAAGGCCTGTGCCCTAGCAGTGGGAACATTAATAGGCTGGTGATGAATTTAATAATGGGTGTGTTTACAGGCACAAAAAAATATTATCTCTCTGTTCTTCGGAAGGCACCAACTCGCCCTGGGCCCGCGTGGTGGGTCATGGTCCAATATTCCATTCATAGAGAAGGCCTGTGCACCAGCAGTGAGGACATTAATAGGCTGGTGATGAATTTAATAATGAGTGTGTTTTCAGGTGCGGTACTTCGTGCGGTTTATTAGGGGTAAGTTCAGTCTGCCGACGCGCGAACAGATGCAGGCGCACACGCAGCAGGAGAAAGAGGAGAGAGCCGCGCGCGGGTACACGCGCCGGCAGGCACACTTCATGGGGCGCGAACAGGTAACTACTAGTAAACATTAAACAATATTTAAGAGATGAAGATAGCCTCTCAGATGCGCGACGGTAATGGAAGGAACATTCGTTGCCAGGCACGAATAACAGGCAGAGTGACCAGATGGTCGAGAATCGCCTGGATTCTTCCGATATATCATGTGATCGAACAACGAAGTCTCCCGAATAACGAAAAATGATACCGTCATTTACTCTACCACAACACTATGCACTGGCTGCGCCTCGCCTAACTTTCAATCAACTTTTACGCAGGAGGCGCTCAGCTATGGGGGCGGGCGGTGAAATTCTCCCAAGACAACCCCGAAATCTTGACATTCTATTATATTATCTAGATATGAAGACTTCTCGATATGGCAACCTCATTGATAGGACGTGACCAGGAAACTAGACGTGTACACAGTTCTCGTTGGCAGCTGTCATTAGTCCAGTAATAAAAATATGCCTCTCACATCCACGAGGGTATAGGTAAGGTACACAAGCAGTCAGGCACACTTTATGTGCCCATACTATGTAACCAGACCTGTACTTCATACTCACCAGCAGTCCAATTTACTCAGGTGAGGGATTTCTGCCTCTCAGATAGGTATCTACCCGTCGCCAAGCGATAATGATGGGGCGCAACCAGGTAAATACACGTATACGTCATCCTCATCTACAGAACATATTAGTCAAGTCATGGACATATGCCTCTCAGATGCGCGAAGGTATTCCTCTTTAGGCGTCAGTGTATGGTTCAAATTTCAACTCAATCAATCAATCATTTATTTATTTTTCTCTCACATGAAAATAAAGTTCATTATAGTATACCACTTGTGGTTTACAATATGTTATAGTATTGTGAGAGACTGGTGCCTGAATTAGGTTTCAGTGAAACCTGTGACACAGGTCACCAGGACCCTCCCGCTGACTACATACATCATAAAAACAGGGTATGACGTGACTTGAGGCTTAAGTAATGTTAGGTATAATTTTAAAAACTTTATGCTTATTTTAGGTAACTGTTGCAGAGTACATTTACATATTAAATATTTAATTTATATATATATACCTACATATATAAAAGTACATATATTACACAAATTACACAATATAAACAATATTAATCAACATTTAGTAAGAGTATGTGTATATTTGTGTGTGTGTGTGTGTGTGTGTGAGAATGAGTGAACACTAATGGGGGCCAGCACATCGGGAAGCGGAATCAAGTAGTGGGCAACCTGGACAGACAATCTACTTAAGAGGAGTAATTAAGTTTTCTGTTGCCTGATAATCAAGGCTCCCCAGGTATTTGCTAACAGTCCACTTGCATACTGTTTTAGAAAGAGGATAGATGTTAAGTAACCCATTCCAATCCATCCCAACTCGCTACATCAGCGCGTTGACCTTCGAGTGTTTTAGATTTTCAGAGATTCAAGGGGCTGTTCCCTTGAAGCTCTGAGAATCACAGTTTTAAGTTGATGTTAAATAAATACGGCCGTTGTTGCTGCGTACCTACAAAGTACTGAACCCACGGTGGGCGAGTCCGTCTCGCATTTGTCCAGATTTTAATTATCTGCTTTGCTAGGTGATAAGCAGTCGGTGTAAGTAGTAGGGAAATTTATTTATTAATCATTATTATTGTTCTAGGAACAATATTTTACATCGTTGGCGGCTGAATCCGGCGCCAAACCTTTGCCATCCGTCCTAACCAAGATCTTGATGGAAAGCGCCGACAGATTCTTCAGCGACCTGACCAGCTTCCGCCAAGATAACTACGATATCATAGACGATGACACATTTGAAATAATAAGTAATGAGAAACGAGAAGTTCATTGTTGACTTTAAAAGTGGTACTCATTTAAGATTTAACATTTTATCTAAGAATAGTTTGGCAGAGATATTTGAATTAGTCAAAAAAAAACTATCGTAATGCTTGATTAATGATGCGGCAATCTATTCATTAATTATGTACATGTTTGTTTAATTCTAGTTATATAACCTACGAAATAATATATTTGAATTTTTTTCACTTACTAACATTTAACAATGTAAAAGTATTATTTAATATATTCCTAAGTAAAAAGATAGAAAAGGTGTTTGTTATTTATTTTATTTATGCGGCGTATTTATATTATCATGATCGATAAATTATAAATAAAATTATGATTAAGTCAAGAATCTTCAAAAGAAATTCCGTAGGTACGTCAAGTTTTCATTAGCGTCTAAATCTCGGGACCACTCTCTTAATTTTAATTTAATTTAAAAAAATCTCGTGTCACGGTGTGCGTATGTCCTTCAACAAGTTTCTTATTGCATGAAATACATGCCTGAAAATAAAATTAATTTTCTGTAACAAAAAAAAACTTACTTTTGTTAAACTAAACATTTGGATTCGTTGTCATACCAACAAACATAAGAAGACTTGAGCTGCAGTTTGCTACTTTTATTTTATCTCAATTCGTAAGAATCTTCATTTTATGTAAAGTACATGAAATAAACATTTCGACGAATAGGGTATTTGACAAGTTTTAGAAAACGATCTCACGTTATTTTATTTTATTATGTGTATTTCGGTAAAAAACTAAATGAAAAACTCTATTTTCAAGTTGCCGCGAAAAACGTATCTCTGGAAAATATGGCGTCTCACTGGTGTGTGATGTCACACGACTGTCATTAAAACGTCAAACCATAGAATCTAATGTCACTTTAACCGGAAGTTTACTTGCGTGTGACGTCATTTTAGGCTCAACCAATCCCAATCGTTTTGGGTCACGGGACAAAAGACAAGACAGCTGTTATCTTTATGTAATATGGGTTTTTAATAAAATTATGAATAGTTTTTCTGAAAAAAATAGTAAAAACTAAGCCAATATTCATTCTAAATACAGATGCTAACAATTGGCACTTTTTTTTAATACTGTCAAATACCCTATTGAACTACTATTACTTCCAAAAATTGTAGTCGACGCGATAATCGCGATAAAGGTCGAGTGGTGCGGTTCACGCAGTGCGGCGAAAGGGTGAAAGTGTAACGACATCTGTACCCGTAGCACGACCCAATATCAAATTCGTATCGTTTGCGAGTACGAAATGTCAATGTCAAATGTGTACTGATTTTTAGTTCTAGTTACGTACGTTATGGCGTTATTGTTCAAGTTTTCATACAAAATTTGACAATGACATTTTGGACTCGCAAACTATTCAAATTCGACAATGATTCGTGCCAAGGGTACTGTACTTGGTTACAACTTATGCGCGTTACCTTCGTTTAAGTGGGTACTACGCATTCGTGGGTGCTAGTTAACCCTCAATTATACTGGACTTTTCAAGAATACGTCGATTGGCTTACTGAAGCGCTATCGGCGCCGCGCAGCAGTTAGTTTAGTTTCAACAGCGATTTCGGAACGAATACAAAGGCGATCAAAGTGCAAGGAAACCTTTCAAGTGCGATTATTTAAAAAATGTATAGTGTAAAGTGAGTGTAGTATTGTGTGTTTAAGAAAGAACTGTGAACTGTGTGGTGAATAAAGAACTGTCAAACGTGAACTGACATATAATTTCAGAACAAATTTTAATGTATTTTGTTGCTTATAAACGTAGATAAAACCTAAGAGCAGAGCTTCGATGGGTGCAGGTGGTTAGCGCGTTCGGCTGCGATTGTTGAAGTTAAGCAACTTTCGCAGTGGTTGGTCATTGGATGGGTGACCAAAAATCTTCTATCCCGAATTCCTCCGTACTTCAGAAGGCACGTTAAGCCGTTGGTCCCGGCTGCATCTGCAGTCGTTAGCACTCGCCAATCCGCACTGGGCCCGCGTGGTGGGTCATGGCCCAATCTCTCTATTCCATCCACAGGGAAGGCCCGACTCGTAACATTTTTATAGATTCACAAATTGATCGTGAAAGTTCGTAATTTTGTGATTACTGTATTAGTTCATTTTGTCTGATTCGAAACGATTTAGCAAAAGCAAGCAATCATTACAGGATATTGCATTTAACAAAAAGAAAATAAAGTTTCAAATTACAATTCCGAGATCTACACAGACCATATCGCGTGCAGAAGATGTACAGTACATTTTAAAATTTCACTCCCAATCAAAATTTTCATTCGGGATTCCATAATTGAACCGACAAATTGGGAAAACTTTGCGGTCGAGTATAAACGAAATAATGTTAATTAGAAAATAGCAAGGAATAATTTGAAGCCACCTAACTCAGGGTCCCAGTAACATTGCCCCTATCCACACCGCGCTCTCTGAACTTAATCTCAATAATTAAAGTCGGATTCCGGATAATTACTTACTTGGTTTAAAGTTGACTTTCAGTTTCCTTCGGTGCGGTGATTCGAGCAAAATTAAATTATGTCATGCTGGGTGTTTCGCCACTGTCTATTATGTATTTTCAAACCAAGTTGTAGCGGAATCTTTTGTTTTGGTTGGAATTTTTGCTTTTACTTACATTTTTTAATCTAATGAGTCTTTATAAATCAACCTTTAAAGCGCTGGTGCAACACAATGTCGCATCAGCTATTGTTAAGGTAGGGTCCTGGTTAGCCCTGAGATTTATGATTTTTTATCTGTAAACTAGCGGCCCGCCCTCGCTTCGCTTCGGTGTAGAGCTGAAATGTAGACTACAGTTTTTGTTCTCAGGCTTGTATTATACACTATGACATTCATCTATAATTCTTTTTATACCTGCATGCAAAGTCTCAGCCCGATCGGTTTAATATTGACAAAGTTTCATACAAACTTTCATTTTCTATTTTATCCCCTTGGAGGTAGAATTGATCAAAATCCTTTCTTAGCGGATGCCTACGTCATAACATCTACCTGCATGCCAAATTTCAGCCCGATCCGTCCAGTGGTTTGGGCTGTGCGTTGATAGATCACTATCTCAGTCAGTCAGTTACCTTTGAGTTTTATGTAATATAGATGTGTAAATGAAGGTTAATAAAATATATTCTATTCTATAAGTACCTATTTGTCTAGTTACATAAATGTTAATTAAATGTATGTACTTACTACTACTTGTAGGCTTTCATACTATATATAACTATATATACATACCATACATACATAATTTATACACACAATGTAACTATAAGATATATACATATATAATATAAACATATGACACATACATACATAGACTACACATACATAAGTTTAGTCCAGTCAGAAAAAATTAAATTCCGTTACATCGACAAATTATGGTTGAAAACAAGATTTTTGAAAATATGAATAGATTGTGCTCGTCTTATGGATACTGGAAGAGAATTCTAGAGGCGAACAGCTTGGACGGAAAAAGAACGACCATAGGAGGTTGGGTCATGAGTGGGAATTTTTAGGGTTAAATTTTCAGATGACGCGTTTGAGCTATGAAGGTAATTGAAGCATTCCTTGAGATAGCGCGGGGACAAAAGATTGAACAATCATTGTTAGGAGCTGAGTATTCCGGCGAAGTCAAATTAGTAGCCACTTGAGCTGTGATCGAAATTGTGACACATGATCATATTTTTTTTTGTTTGCAAAACTTATTAACTTATTAACATACTATTAATCTTTGAATTTTGTCTAAATCCAGCAGTTTGGCGTTGAAATTGTTTGTAGTAGACGTCCGTACATTTTTGCCAGGACCGTCCGCGTCCCAAGCATCGCGGCTTAATCTGGATTTATGACGCGATGACGTAATTTTGGCAACTGTGCCTCGTTTGTGACGGGAAACTCAGTTTTATTGCTGGCGATTTTTCCCCCTCCTATTATACCATATAGCTTCGGAGCATTATGAATTCCTGCAAACATTAATCTTGGCGGTTTTGAGAGAATTTAAAATTAATTGATGTCGTTAAAAAGTTGGGGACTAAAGCAGCTTCTTCTTTTTCTTTTGTTAAAAATTAAAATTTTAATTGGAAAATAAATACTTGTTGTTGCCTCACAAAATTGTTTTAATTTTACTTTGCTAACGAGAGACGGTAAAACATTATCTGGTTATCGCAACCTCTGGTCAAAGTCATATCCTTACATAGCTCATTTTTATACGAATACACAAAAAAGGAATGCAGTATTAATCGGGTGCAGGATCAGGGTTGTACCTATGTGCGTTTATTTCATCATCATCATCAACAACAGCCTATCCTAGTCCACTAGTGGACAAAGGTCTCTCCAATTGCACGCCACTCAGATCGATCTTAGCTCGATCATGGGCTACAGTCCACCATAATTTCTAAACATCTGAAGAGATTTGATCATCGTTAGAATCCTATTATCATCCAGAGTGGGATAGGTTAAATTCACAAGTCTTTCATTTAAGAGCATAGCGGATTCTTTACTCGAATTGCAAGCGCCCGTCTGGGGAAGGAACCTCCACCTTACAGAAGACTGCAGTAACACTAACTTTTACTGTCGTTGTGTTTCTGTCGGTGAGTTAGGTTCCAGGGCTCCACCGGGTATTGGGTCAAGGTAGGCAACGGCACGAGTGATATATCTTTATATATATAATTCTTCTGTGAGTGTGTATGTCACTGAACTTCTCTTAAACGACTGGACCGATTTTGATGAAATTTTTTGAGTGTGTTCAAGGGGATCTGAGAATGGTTTAGATTCACAATTTTGTCCGCTGGACAACCCCTATTTTTTTAGGGCGGTACGAAGTTCGCTGGGTCAGCTAGTATATATATATATATATGGGGCTATGTGGGCCGCTGAACATCAGACGGCTGTTGACCTTAAACACATTTATACATAAACAGATCACAGCAAGACAGGCCAACTAGGTCCCTGCCTCAGCTTAATACTACAGCAACACCACGGCTGGTGCATCGCTGTTAATACTGGCAAAGAAACATTAAATTCATTTAATGTCTTTTGTCAAAATTTCCATTTTATGTTAAATTAGGTTCACCAATGAACCTAATAAATGGAAATTTTGACAAAGGACATTGGGCAAAAATGTATTGTATGGACGCTGCACCCACGTCTGCCACGGCTTAAACTAAATTTGTT